AATTTTGTACGTGGTATAGCAGGCTACCTGTCGTTCATCTGCTCCATCATATTGTGTTGCCTAACTCAAATCTACCAGGCGTCTAGCGTAAAACTGGTTGCCTTCTTCATCAGTATAAGGTACATTATTTTATTTTTGTCAAATATGCCTACAACGCCTATAATCACTCGTTCAAACAAAGGATCTAACTTGACATCCATTGCTAAGAAGGTGGTTACTTTAGATGATACATGGAAATCCTTGGTTACTATTCAGGAGAGTGTTTCTTCTCATGATATAAAACTTGAAACCATTGTAAAAAATATAGAAGGATTTGAAATTAGTATTAAATCATTCTCTACTGTTATTGATAATCTTACCACTGAATTAAACCTTGTTAAGGAGGAAAAAGCTTCTTTAGCTCTTGAAGTTAAATCACTTCATGAAAAAATCAGCAAGCTGGAGTCTGAGCACCATTGTGGTCCTGCCACACATGAATATAACATTTATCAAGAGTCTCTTGAAAGGGTGTCAAAGGCAAAGAATTTTATGATTTTCAACGTTCCCCTTTCGGCTAATGAAAATTCTGAAACTTTAAATGTCATGGTTGATCACCTCTTCCAGGACTTGGCAATCCAATGCCAATCTACCTCAGTTAAACGAATTGGCCCAGTGGGATCCCGTCCTCGTCCTATTGTTGTTCAGCTCAACTCCCCAACAGATGTCCATATGGTCCATATCGTCTAAACGGAAACTACGGAATCTTGAGCGTTGGAAAAATGTATGGATTCACGAAGATCTTACTCTCATGCAACGGAAGCAGCTGTCTGGTCTCCGATCTGAACTTAAGCGTCTTCATGGCAGTGGTGACCATGGCTGGGTTATAAGAAACTCTTATGGTTCTCCAAAACTGGTTCGAACTAATCCTGGGCAATCAACAGCGGAAAATACAAAAAACTAATTGATGGCCGCGGCGGTAACAAAAATAAAATTGTAGATAATACTTGTTTGTGTGTAAATAATTCTCTTGGTTTTTATCAAAACTGCAGAGGACTTAGGACTAAGTTATTTAATTTTAAATGTAACACTTCTTGTTTTAATTATCCGTTCATTACTTTAACTGAAACGTGGCTTAATAATGATATAGCTGATGGTGAACTCAATTTGTTTAATTATAATATTTTTAGATGTGACCGAAATAACCCCACTAGTGGCTGTTCTAGGGGCGGAGCGGTTCTTGTTGGCATTCGTATTGATCTCCCTTCATATCTAATACCTGTTACTTGTTTGGATATTGAGGTTTTGTTTGTGAACTTCACTCTAAGTGGTAAAAACTAAAAAGTATATACTTAGCAGTGCTTACCTACCTCCAAACTCTCCTCTTCAATCCTATGAGACCTTTATGTCTACTGTTGAATATCTACTTTCCATTTATTCTGACCATTTGTTTATCTTCTGTGGTTATTTTAATCTTCCAAATGTTTCTTGGTCAAATGACAACCATGGTCTGTTTTATTCCTCTACCTCTGGCTATCTTATTAATTGTCTTCCGGAGACTTTTGCAGCAAATAACTTCTTTCAAATCAACGACGTTTTTAATAAATCAGGGTCACTATTAGATCTTATCTTTGTAAATCTTAATCAGTATAAGGTTAAAGCTGCATTGGCCCCAGTGGTACCAGAAGACCGCCATCACCCTGCGTTGTCCATAGACTTTATTCCGGTCACCAATATACCACAAATTGATTCTTCTCATTGCTACTTCAATTTCCGTAAAGCAAATTATCCTCTTATAAATAAATTTTTGTTATCTTTTAATTGGTTAGAAACTTTTTCTAATTTAGATGTTACTTCTGCTGCTTATGCACTTTTTGATGCGATACATTTATCCATTCTGCGACATGTCCCGAACGTAAAATTTTCTCGATCTAATTTTCCTTCATGGTTTTCTAAAGAACTAATCAATTTAGTATTTAAAAAAAGGAAAGCTCACGCAATCTTTAAGAGCACTAACAAGCCAGATGATTATAAAAATTTCAGTTTTCTTCGGGCTAAATATAAATACTTGAGTAAACAATGTTACAAAAAATTTATCAGCTCTACCGAAGAAACTTTTTGTGCCAATCCATCTAAATTTTGGGATTTTGTTAGAAAGAATAAAACAGGTCAGTCTATTCCCAGAACAGTCACACTCAATAGTATAATTAGTAAAAATAATAATGAGGCAGTGAACTTTTTCTCAAAACATTTTAATTCTGTATATTCTAGGGCAAACGTCAACTATAAAACTGAATTATCCCAATCCCTCATTCACGATCTTCCGAGCAACTGTTTCTTTGATATATCAGATGTTGAAAAAGGTCTATCACGCCTGAAAGGTAATAATTCTATTGGCCCGGATGGTATCTCAGGTGATTTCTTATTCTCAATCAGATCGTCTATATGTTTCCCTTTATGGCTTCTATTTCGAAAATCACTTGATTCCGGGGGCGGATCCTACCCAGAAATACTCAAACTTAGTTCCATAACGCCGATATTTAAATCTGGTGATATTTCTAATGTAGCTAACTATAGGCCAATAACTATCATCAGTCTCATAGGTAAACTGTTTGAATCATTAGTCTTAAGTTCTATCCAATCTGCGGTAAATCAAATCATAATAGATGAGCAACATGGATTTCGCCCTAATCGGTCAGTTAACACATGCAATCTAGTGTTCACTGATTATGTGTTTGATGCCTTTGCAAAAAAAAATCAGGTTGACGTCATTTACACCGACTTCAGTAAAGCCTTTGATAGGGTTAACCATGCTGTTCTTATGAAAGTCCTTGCCGGTAGTGGTTTTGGGGAGCCTTTGTTATCATGGTTCATCTCTTATCTATCCGGTCGCAAACAATTCATAAAAATATTTGGTATCAAATCACAGGTATTAAACACGCCGTCAGGGGTACCTAAGGGTGGCCATCTTTCCCCGTTACTTTTTATATTGTTTATTAATGACATAAAGAAAGTTATTCGCCACAGTAAATTCTTACTATTTGCAGATGACTTAAAGCTATTTTTAGAAATTCGCTCAGTACATGACTGTCAATTACTTCAAAATAACTTGTATGCACTGGATGCCTGGGCTGTAAATATTGGTTTGGATTTTAATGTCTCCAAATGTTGCTCAAAATCTTTTTATAGAGGTCGGACTCACTTGGAGTTCAATTATTTACTTCGTGGAACCTATCTTGCTATTGAACTGAATACTGTGAAAGACCTCGGAGTTTTCTATGATAGTAACTTAAATTTCCATCACCATATAGATGCGACATGCTGTAAAGCTTTAAAAGCTCTTGGATTCCTTAAGCGGGTTTGTAACGAATTTAAGTTGATAACTCCACTAAAAGCCTTATATTGTGCGATCATCAGATCAATTCTTGAATTTTCTGTAATTATATGGAACCCTCACAACACAAGCAATATGAATCAACTTGAGAGAGTCCAACGGAAGTTTTTGAGCTTTGCAGCATATCTATTAAATATCGAACATAGACCTCATGATTATGATCCAGTAATAGATAGGCTAGGCTTACAGTCTCTGGCCGATAGACGTATCACCATTAACAAAGTCTTCCTAGTCAAGCTCATCAATGGGTTGATCGACTGTCCTGAACTTCTATCTAAAGTAAACTTTAAAATTCCTTGTGTCCAGGTCCGTTCTTCCTATCCTTTCAGTATACCACTGTGTACGACAAATTATTCACGAAACAAACCACTAAATAGGATGATGCGTATTGCTAATGAGGATCCGTCTTTTAGTTTTTAAGTTAAGTTCTGTAATTCTTTTCTTTTGTATTCTTTCCTTTCTCTATATTAATTATTATGTCTACTACACATTGAATTCACTTATAATATGAAAATTTATTTTCTGTGTTTTTGAGCTGCGGCCCGTATTAAAATAAAAATAAAATAAAATAAAATAAATAATCTATTTGCATACTTCCAAAATCTGGCTATACATCTTCCAGGTGATAATAGGCATGCTGTTTATCCTAATAAAAATAAAAACAGGATAGACAATATACCTGTCATTTCTTCTTGGCTCAGTCACCATACAAATTTTTACTTTACATGGCATCGTCCATAGCTTTGTAACAAATTAAACAATTTTTCAGCAGTTGTTCCAAATTTTGAAGCAAATGTTTTTAAATGCATCAATTTTTTTATTCTTTTCGTTTTGGGTCCCATAAACAAGGATATTCTTTTACCTCGACTATTGGGTCCAATATGATTTCTACTATCCATTCAAGTTCCATGTTTACTTTAAAGAATAATCAATTAGAAATATATTTAAGTAGTATAGAGTACCTATATTTTTTATCATTATTATTATAATATAGCTTAAAAACCCATGGCAACCATTTATGAACAAAAATTTCCATCTGAAATCTCAAAATTCTCGTTTGAGCACCCCCCCCCCCCCCCACGGGGTTGGTCCTCTCCCTTTTTAAATTAGCCTATGTTTTAAATACACACAGTATAAAAATTTCATCAAGATCGGTCCAGTAGTTTATACGTTAAAAAGTAACAAAGTCACAAACTTTCGCATTTATAATATTAATAGTATTTTGTTATTTTAACATCTGCATACATGTTACAAAATCAAATGGTTATATAATTTATGGTGGTAAGTATGTTATACCACTTGTTTTAAGTATTGAAACTGAACATAAACCAATTATATTAAAGGTAGCTACAATGCTAAGTACAACAAAATCCAAAAATCACAATTATACATTGTTTTTAACACATAAACACAGATTATTTTTTCTGGGTATATGTAATTAAATTTTCACCCGTCGTCTGGGAAAAATTTGATTTCCCGGCGACACCTTAGGAAGATTTTCTAGTTTTGAGTTCATAACATTTTGCATTTCCTAGTAGTAAACAGCACGTCGTACAGTTTTCGCTATCATGAAACGAGAATATGGCTACCAGATCGGCAGATCCTGATGGACTATTTTGACGTTTCCGTGATGGACGTAGTGGCCGCTCTCATTGCCAAAATCAAACTCAGATACTCAACAGATTGCGAACCCGAAGTAACTGACGACGGAGAGAAGGCGTTCGATCGAGATGATTTGGGCGACTACGTCGTGTCGATGATCAGCGCGGTCGTCACGCGTGGTCAAGACGAGATTTTGGAAGGGCAGCCCTGCTGTTATATGCCCACCACTATAGAGACTATAGAGACGCTTGTTTTACAGAATATAATAACGCCTGTATGTAGGCGTCTTATCTTAGATATTTTGCTTATGCGCGACAAGACTATAGTATCGGTCCTGTCAGCAATTTAGTCGAGAACTCGACTCATTCGAGCTAAGTAGTGAGCTTGTAGTATAAATCATATTTTTTAAATCTAATAAAGTATAATATTCTCATATAAATCTAAAACGTGTATTCTTTTTATTAATAAACTATTAAACAACATTTGATTATCACCCGCTACACAGAGAACGGTTTCAACAAATTGTCGTCTTCGGATACAACCAGAGACACAATATAAAATATAACAGAACATCACAGGCATACGCAGTGGCGTTCATAACATTGGTGGCAGCGGTAGCCGTTTTCATTTTCTTTTCTGTGAAAGAAATTCTGTCTAGTGAGTGATATATTCAAATAATTATTATAAATAAAAAAAAAGTGAACACGAGTGAATATATTCATACGGAGGCGCTTTTACCTAAATATTGGTGAGGAAACTATTCTATAGTCCCCAATATTTACGTCATACGCATCTACAAATACACCGTAGGAGGTGCTACTTGTTTTATACCAACTACGTAAAAAACGGGATCACCATATTTTATCGGTCATTATAAATACACAATCAACGCCTATTGTCAATACCAATACGCACATTTGTACGATAAGCTACACTACATCTCGTCTACATCGATTAATTAGTAAACAGAAATTAATTAATCGTTCAAGTTAAACAAAACCCACCAGTGTGGTCTCCGCGCATACCGGTTTCGGAGCGTAGAACTTCAAACGAAATAACTTGAAGACTACGTGGGAACGACACCGAGGGACGTAGCGAGTTCAACAAGGAATCCAGATAATCTGTCAAAGAAGTAAATTATTATGCAGTTCGGAGTAATAACAAAGACCGTCATACTGTAAGTAAAAAAAAAAATAATAACATAAATATTTTTATACTATAATAATATTATTATCACTAACTTGAATAATAGAATAAAATTACTGTATTTTTTTATTTTATCTTGACCTACTGACATAGTAACATAATTGTAATTTTTTTATTATTATTGTCGTTTTGTTTTGTTGTTATTATACACTATAATAACAAACTAACACTTTTAATGTATGACTACTCAATCAAGTAGTGGTAATAGTAGCAGTGATAGGAGCCCAGATACATCTACAGTAAATAAAGGTTATAATACTCCTATATCAAATAACTTTGACGATAATTTAAAATATACTGGCCCAAATACTAGGTCACGAGCCCACCAAAATAAAAGATACCATAGGAAATCTAGAAGTGTAGAATCATTATTCTCTGATACTAAGGGAAATATTTCAACTTCAGTACCTTCGGATCAAATAGGTGAAGAAAATACACCAAAACAAATAAATAAAAATACCGAACTACTCGGTTTAAAATTTTCGGGGGTGGATAATTCGTGTACCATTTCCAAAATGAACAATAAAGTTCTTTCATTAGAAACAGTTATTAAATTGGTTCCTTTTTTCAATGGTGAAGATTCAGCTGATATCTATCCTTATCTTAGCGCATGTGATTTCGTAATGTCTAATGTCGATAACAACATAAAGCCAGTTTTGTTACAAGCTATTCGTACAAAATTAAGTAAAAAAGCTTTTGCGATAACTCAACATCGTGATGTAGAAGATTGGGTAGGACTTAAACATTTACTCGAATCAAACTTTTGTGCTAAACGTACACCAGGGTATCTACAACTTGAACTTACATCAACAAGATAGTCTCAAGGAGAGTCAGTTCATGACTATTCTACAAAGGTTGAAAATCTACTCAATGAATTATGTAATGTGAGCACAAAGGGAAAATCAACCACAGATGCCACAGCAATACGTACATATATAAAAGAAATTACTTTAACGACGTACGTAGAAGGATTATTACCTCATTTAAGAACAGTGATTAAATCAAGAAACTTTGAAACACTGGAAGATGCAATGAAGGCAAGTCTTGAAGAGCAGAAAATTTATCAATCATCAAAAGAGACTCAACGAATACTTAAAGGAGGAAACCAAGGCAGAAATAACAATCAAAAGTATTGCGAAATTTGCAATCGTAATAATCATTTTACAAATCAATGTAGATATGGAAATCGCGGTCAAGATACTGGCCAACAAAATTTTCAATCAAAAGTACATTCAAATCCAAATAATAAAGATGTGAAAAAGATAACATGTGCTTATTGTAACCTGGTCATTCAAAATCAAATTAATTGATAATCATGCTTTATATAAAATTCCACAATGTACAAAATATATCGTAAAGCTACTTGTAGACACAGGGGCTGATCTTAATTTAATAAAACTAGGTGCTCTTCACGATGATGTTCAAGTATCAGACACAAAAATATTCATGTTACAGGGGATAAATGATCAAACAGTTAAGACCATGGGATTTACAATGTTGACAGTCATAAATGGAAATCAATCTTCCGAAAGTGAATTTCATGTAGTTCCGACAAATTTTCCAATTATAGGCGATGGTATTTCGGGAAAACCATTTTTAACGGAGAATCAAATTTTCATTGACGTAGGAAAAGGGGAAATTACATCAAAATTAGATGACGTCACAACTATTCCAGCTACATGTGAAACAATTATTCCAGTAGATGTGTCAGATCTACAAATTCAAGAACATCAGAGCATACTAGTTTACGCTCAAAATATAAATAATGAAATAATATGTGGAAATATATTAAATAAAGTAAAAAATCATCAGATTCTCATAAGTATAATTAACCCAACAGAAACTCAGATTGTGGTACCTACACCAAAACTAACAGTTATCACACGAAATAATAAATGAAGAATCAATAAAACATTTTATACATACTAATAAGGTAACAAAAAATGAACAAAATCGGATTCAACTTCTAAAGAACTTTCTCAAAACAGATCATATGAATCTTGAAGAAAAAGTATCCATTGAAGAATTATGCAGTGAATTTTCTGATATATTTTTTCTCGAAGGAGATAAAATTACATGTACAGACGCTGTATATCATGAAATAAGAACACCAGGAACAACACAACCCATCTATCAACGACCTTATGGACTTCCATATTCACAGAAAGAGGAAATAGATAATCAAATTGAAAAATTGGAGAAAGATGGAATAATTGGGCCCAGTGATAGCCCATGGAATGCTCCATTGCTAGTAGTGCCAAAGAAGATCGATGACTCAGGTGAACAAAAATACAGAGTTGTAGTTGATTTCCGTAAATTAAACAACCTTACTGTGGGAGATTCTTTCCCAATGCCAGATGTCAATACAATCTTAGATCAATTGGGAAATGCAAAATATTTCTCTTGCTTGGACATGGCGAGTGGTTACCATCAAATTCCAAAGCGACCGGAAGACAGACAAAAAAACCGGTTTTAGCACCGATAAGGGCCATTTTGAGTTCAATAGGATGTGTTTTGGACTAAAAGGAGCTCCGGCAACTTTTCAAAGACTTATATGAATCAGGTGCTTATTGGTCTCAACGGTGTGAAATCTTTTGTTTACCTGGATGATGTAATCGTTATTGGAAAATCTATTAAAGATCACGAAAATAACTTACGAGATGTATTTAAAAGATTTCTTAAATATCATTTGCAACTTCAACCACTGAAATGTCAATTCTTAAGTAAAGAAGTAAGTTATCTTGGTCACTTGATAACTGATGAAGGTATTAAACCAGATCCAAAAAAAATATCGTGTGTAGCTAATTATCACACTCCAACAAATGCTAAAGAGCTAAAATCATTTCTTGGATTAATAGGTTATTATCGAAAATTTATCAAAGACTTCAGTAAAATATCAAAACCATTAACATCTTTACTAAAGAAGGATCAACAATTTATATGGACGGATGCTTGTGAAGACGCATTTCAAACATTCAGAACCATATTGACCAAGGTACCAATACTTCAATTTCCTGACTTTTCTCGACCTTTCAATATTACAACAGATGCCAGTAATTGTGCAATAGGAGAAATATTATCGCAAGGAAACATTGGGTCAGACTTGCCAATTTCCTATGCATCCCGCACATTAAATAAAGCTGAAATAAATTATAATACTACTGAAAAGGAGCTGTTGGCAATAATTTGGTCGGTTAAACAATTTCGTCCTTACATCTACGGTCGAAAATTTAACATCATAACGGACCACAAACCTCTATCGTGGATGTTTGGAGTTAAAGATCCAGGCGCTCGTCTTATTAGGTGGCGACTTCTGCTAGAAGAATACGACTATTCAGTCATTTATAAACCAGGAGTTCAGAACACAAATGCTGACGCTCTTAGCAGAATAGCAGTTTCTACTACTTCGGCAATTGCGCCTCAATCAACTAGCGAATATAAGAAATTTCTTGAAGAAATATCCCAACGTGTCATTATAAACAATAATGTTACTGAAACAGCGGGTAATTTATTCGATGCTGCAGATGAATATGCATTAGGACATTGTGTTTCTCAAGATTTTTGTATGAAAAAAGGGATAGGTCTCGAATTTAGAAGAAAATATGGTCAAATTAAACAGCTAAAAAATCAAAATAAACTGGTAACAGAAATAGCTTCGTTACAAGTAAATCGAAAAACTATTCTTTACCTAATCACAAAAGAAAAACATTAGCAGAAACCTTCGAGTGAAAAAATGTTTTTAACTTTAAAAAATTTACGAACTTTCTGCGATTCAAATAAAATAAAAAAACTGGCTTTACCAAAAATATCTTGTGGAATAGATCAATTAGATTGGTATGAAACATGCACAATGATTCGATTCCATTTTAAAGGCTCTGAAACCAAAATACTAGTGTTCATTGATGACACATATACAGAAGAAGATAAATATAAGATTATCGAAGAATTTCACAATTCACCACTTGGAGGTCATCAAGGAATTTCCAGAACAATCAAAAGAATTAAACAACAACATACATGGAAAGGATTGAAAAAAGATGTACAAAATTTTATATCGTCATGTCAATCATGCCAGCGAAATAAAACCCTTAATAAAACCGTCAAACAACCCATGGTTATAACAACTACATCTTCCAAACCATT